TTTGCTCTTAGTAAGTCTAATTTAAATGCTATTTCTACTTTGTTGATGGGAACTATCCTTTCATTCGCAAAGACTCCAAGAGTCACAAGTTTATTGTTCTCCTTCTTTCCAAGACTGCACTCTTAGATATAATTTCTGATCAAATCGACCATGCATTCTCACTTTATCAATGTAAAAAGGTGCCGCCAGATGCCTTTATTCTTAATTAACAAATTTAAATCAGAATTTAGGCTCTAGAGACTAAATTCTGATTTAAACTTGTTAATTAAGAATAATCTTCTTAAGACAAATCTTCAACAGTGCCATTAACAAAGGAAAGTCTAAGTAGGCCTTAGAAGAAAAGAAATTCCTTTATTTCTGATTCATAGGACTAATCTTATTACGTCTTCCAAGGATAAAACTATTTGCAAAGAGCTTTTCTTCAAATTCTATTCTTGGAAATTATGGCCATTCTCTTGCTTCTATTCCAATTAAACAGCTTAACCCATTTTTAGACATTCAAATCATTCCAGTTTCCGTTGTTGAAGTGATATCTTGATTAAACTCTACTACAGCTTGTGGTACAGACAACATTCCTGTTATAGTCTTACAAAATTGTTCTCTAAAACTGTCTTCAATTCTTTCTAAACTATTTAATAAGTGCTTGACTGAGACTTCGGTATTAGAGTGTAAAATAAAAGCGCCTAAACTTCACATCAGTTAAAAATAAAAGAAGTGTTACACTTATGGGAAAAATCTTAATAAACAGATTTTTAATTACACAATATTACTCCAGCTCTAATCTACATCTTCTATTACTCGCTGATGTTTGTATTACACTAATTGTCTACATATACCATTATTCTATGATGTAGGTGTTTCACACTTTTTAATTTTTCTTTTGTTTGGCTAACAAAACAAATAAGTGTTTGTTTCACTATATATGAAACAGTTTTTGTATTGAGCAGTTTTATACTTGTTTGATTATTGTATAATCGAAAGATGTTGTTGAAATTCAGAAATATTGTTATATCTATTAGACTTATAAAACTATCAGACTTGAAAATAAAATTTGTTTAGTCTAATTTATTAGACTTAACAAAATTGCAATAGGAAGACTACTTTAAGTTGTGGTTATAAACCTCTCTTAACTCTATAACTCGTTGAGCGTGTTACTACCAGGGACATGGTACAGATCAAACTCAGAACTTCTTGCTTTTATATATATATATATATATATATATATATATATATATATATATATATATATATATATATATATATAAAAACCACCCTCCAAACATAATAAAAGCAATCCCTCGCAATATTGAACAAAGATTATCTTCCATGTCAAGTAATGAAATATTCTTCAAAAAGGCTATTCCACAGTATGAAGAGGCTTTAAAAAAATCGGGATACAAATCGAACCTTACCTACCAACCACAAATAATCTCAAGTCAAAATCAACAAAAAAAGCAACGTAAACGTAATATACGTACAAGAGACTCCGTATTATTACATCAAAATACTTAACCTCGAATATATACTATATATTGAAATATATACAAATATATATATATATATATATATATATATATATATACACATTAAAATTTTTTTCAGGTTTCAAATACTTATGAAAAAAAAAACAGTAATTGTATTACTGTAAAATATTGCCCCAAAATCATGATTAAAAGGCATTACAGCCTATCAAAATGGTATTTTTTGGTTTGTGTCTCATAACGGCGCAATAAATAGTCATGCTAACTTTGAAATATTTCAAAAAAAAAAAAAAAAAAGAAAATTATAACTACCCACAAACTTTACAATGACGATCTTCATGTCAAATGATCAAATTGGAAGCATTTGCTTACATGAAAACAGTATTTAAGTCAATGGCTCCTGAATTGGCAATTCATCCAACTGTTGCTTATATATACAGCCAATTGCTTTTTATTTATCAAATTTAAAAAGAATTTTATAACGAATTTTAATACTATTATCAATATTTTTCTACAATCAAGGAGGCTACCATTTTTTTGTCAATTCCTGTTACAACTGCTTATTACCACTATGCCACCTTATCATCCATTAATCTCATCATATTATTACCACTACACCGGTCCATCACTTATTAGTCTCATCTAGGGTGTTAGCCAGGAATATTGCAATTTTAGTAACATTGGGAGTCTTTATTGTTATTGTTCTACAAAATATTGGGAATTTTTATTGATATTGTCTTTTCAGAAAAATAAAATCATTGAATTTTGGGAATTTTAAATACATTGGGAAATCTGCTACACCACAACAACTACCTTTAAATAACAATGCAACAAAAATGTAATTGAAACCAAAACTTTCTATAGTGTTTCAAAAGAAAACACTTGAGGAAACACTCAAAAAAATACTCTTGTAATTTTATGAGTACAGCAAGGCACTAAACTCCTGTATTGTTTCTTATCTACAATATCAATCTTACTAACAACTTTACATCTAAATTGATCTATTTGCTGACAACTCAACTTTATTTTGATGTCTCGACAAAAAGTCTTCACTTTTTGATTGCTTAATACAAGTTTTAATCTGGTTTCTCTTCTGTCACAGTTTTTAAAATGATCCAATTTTTAATCTGATAAAACTTGCATATTTACAATTAGTATTTTTTTAAACACCAGGTAATTTAAGGATTATAAATTAAAAAAAGTTCTAAAAAAAAATAATTACTAAAGGTCCAAAAATTTTTGCCATTTATATAAAAAACAACTAGTAAAAAATTATGTTAAAGCTATTTGCACATTGTATGAAACATTAAAATCAACTTTTGTTTAGGGGGAAAGTTTAAGGAATTATTTAAAAACTTAAGTGTTTTAAATTAGTAACTAATTAAGTCATTAGATTTTTATTGTTTTCTTTTAAAATAAATATAAAATATTTCAATTGTTTTTATATATTTTTAAACTCTTCTGTTTTAAATTTAGGTATACATATCGGCATATTTAAATTTAGGTATACATATCAGCATATTTAAATTTAGGTATACATATCGGCCAAAAAGTTACGAGCATTAATTAATAAGAAAAAATTGAATAAGATATAAAAGTATTTAATATCTTATTTCACGACTTTTATCTGTCCTTTAATGCAATAAAATTTTTATTTGTCTAGTTTTTTTCCCTGCACATCAACAAATTTTTAAGTCTTTAGTCAAACTGCTTTCTTGCTTTTTAACACTAAACTATAACTTAATAGTGGTTGCTTGACATTAAAAAGGGAATTAGTTTAAAAATATATACAAATATATGCTACTATTTAATAAATAGTAAATGTATACATAGTGCTACAAATTATATTTATAATATAAAGTGCTACAAATTATATTTATAATATAAATTATATTTATAATATATATTGCAACTAATTTTTACCCTGGCTATCAAGCCTTGCTAAATCTTATAACTTTGCCAGACCCAGATTTGTAAAAAGTCCTATTTTTAGCCGGGGCCAGGACTCCCGTCACTTACTAATCACTTATTGACATACAAATTTTATGTTATTTGAATAATGAATTATCTAATTACTTAACTTCGCCAACTTGATGTTACTTGTGAACTCAACACCTATTGCACATACTAAAGGTATTACACTTGATTTAGTCTAACTATCAGAAAAAACTATCAAAGCCAAACTAAGTTTTTATTATTTTCAGAGTTTAGTGGAATCCAGATGTTACAACTCTGAATATGGTGGTAAGTCTGGTCGCTTATCAACTAAAATTTTTTACTGTAACATCAAATACAGGAAGTTAGATTCTTTGGCGAAATAAGGATATGAACCAGTTAGCTTTTGAAACAGTTGCTATTATTTTTGCATATGATATTTATCTTTGGATTTTTGAAGTACCTGTGTTCAGGATGTAGTTAATAGGGTAATTGTAAGTTAGTTATCTATTTTCTGTCACTAACTTCTAAGAATCCTTAAAAGATAGTTTCAGTTTTCCAATTAAATAGGGAAGTAGTGTAGTTTGTACATTTAGATATTAATCATCTTCTGCATGCAAGCATTCAGCTGATGTTAGAAACTGGAATTATACATTGATGAATGCAAGCCATTTCCATGAACAAACAAAATTGCTTACACTTGTTTATTATGGTCATTATCAAAGCATTACACATGCATTACATACTTTATCTAAGCTTAATACACGCTATCATAATAGCACTACCGAAGTGATACTAGATGGTACTTTTATTAAAGAAATTTATTTTTGTTTCTCCATAAATCCTAAACAGTTAACTCTGTTATAAATGTTTATGTAGATCACAAGATATGCTTCCTGTGTAAATAAACGGTGTAACTGTGTGGTGTAACTAAATAACACCATTTTCCAATTCAACTCTAATCATCCATTATGTAGCTAAGTCAAAAAAAATTTTTTTTAGCATTTTAGAAAATGCCAATACATTGTCCTACATGTTAAGAAAAAAAATCATATTTGCATTTGTTTTACAAGTAACACTCATACTATACTCTCAATACTATAATCCATTATTATTACTATATGTAATTATTATATCAGTTATTATTATCTAGATACACTGGTTTATTTTTTAAATTTTAAGATTAGATTTGTAAAAAGTAATACTTTTCTTATACAAACAAATGTTGAATAATGTGCAGCAGTGTTACAGTGTGTCTTTTACAAGTAATGCTGTCCCATACTAGTAGTGTTACATTGTCAATTGTCTTTAAGTGAAAAAAATTTCAAAATTTTCAAAAATTTGTTCACTTATATCAATAATACAGTTCAAGTCTAAAATTACATTTTTATTTATTTATGAGTGTCCTAACTGTTTTAGAACTGCACTAAACGCAACAACTTATTTTTATTTATATATGAAATAACAATAACTGTATTCTAATACATTACTATAATAGATATAATTTTTTTTATTAGTAAAACCTTTATTTAGAATTTACAATGTTTTTAAAAAATCCAGTGCTTATAAAAACTAAATAAATACCTTCAGTTATTGATCTATCTTCTTCTTGTCTCATAAACATTACTATGGTATTAGCAATAGTTCTGTACTTTTCATAACTCAACTTTAATTTTTTATGAATTGATTTAGATGCAGTTTCCATAGCAGACTCATTTTCCTTATCATTTTCTTCATTATTAGTGACAGGTGCAATATCTACCTCTGCACTTTGTAATTCTACATAAATATAACATGATTAAAAACAAATCAAAACACAATGGGAAAAACAAAAGCAAAAGTTAGTTTACCTCTATCCTCCTCCTCACCAAATTGAATGTCAGGAGTTTCAACACGAATTATAGACTTATTTAATAATCTATAAGCTTCTTTTACATGTTTTGCAGTTACCATGTCCATGCAATGTAATCTTGCTAATGCTTCAGATAGCCGTATCATGCTCTCAAGTTGACGAACAGTTATACGCCAAGCAGATTTAGCTATACCAGAGCTATCACGTTGTCTTAAACTTTTATATTGAACTACCAAAAAATCCTGAGCTTCTTTAGAAATTTTAGGTTTGAATAAGCGAGCAAATGCTAAATATCTTTGCACTTCATCTACTGAGTATACCCTTACAACAGATGCTTCATTTCGACTATGCAAATCTACAATTCTGCGTGCAATAGCATAGTCAATAACTTCGTTACATTCATCCACCAAAATAAAAAAAAGGTCAAAGCGAGACATGATTGGAGCTGTCAAAGTAATATTCTGTTTTAAAGATTTAGTACGATCATAACGCCCACCAATAGGATTAGCTGCAGCTAAAATTGAAGTACGAGCGTTTAATGTTGCCTAAAAAAATTATAAATATGATAATCATAAAGTGAAGTACTTAACAATTTAAATTAAATAAATTTAAAATATTTTAAAATTTACTTGTGCTGAAAACTAGTGAAAAAATAACTGTTGTATATGTTATATATGCTTGTATTATGCTTCATAACTTCAGAAACTTAAACTTTTATATATAAAAACTACTTTTTCTATAAAAACAAACAAAAAACACTATTTTTCTAAAGAACTTAATGTGCACAAGATTTTTTTCATACTCTGTGCAATTAAGGCAATTCTAAAATGTTGTATCATTTATATAATATTTTGCGGACTATGACATATTTCCGTTAAATGATCAGGTCTGTGAATTATAAAAAGTCGAAAAAAATTAAAATGATAAATTTTGATGTAACATAAAATAAAAAAGGTTTGTAGCGAAAAAATCCAGACCATGATTTTAAGATTTTTAAAAATATTTTCTTAAAATCGCGATTTTTTGTCCGATTTTAAATAAGATTTTAAATAAGCTTTTAAGGTGAAATAAACATAGTTTAATAATAAGGTCTGATCTGATTGTTTATTGCAATTTTTAATTATAAGCCCTTTCTTGGTCGGAATTCTAATATTTTAATGAAAACTAATAGAAATGTTGTGTTTTGAAAATTATATTTAATTAATATGTACTAGAACAGATTAGAGCTAGGATCTATAGTAGATTAAGACTCTTATTCAAAAAACTTTAGTTAAAATTAGGTTACTGCTATTGAATTGAGACTCAAAAATAGTGTTATTCACAATTAGAGGCAATAAAAAAATTGAAAGTTATAAAAAAAAAAGAGAGAGAAAAGTTTCTTTAAATATCATTAATACTCTGACAAAATCAAGCTAATTCCAAATAAAAGAATTGAATAATTTATGAATCATTACACCAAGTAGTATTTAGTTTTTAGTCTTAAATATTTTTACAAGGTATAAATCTATAATGATAAAGCATAAATATAGATTCAAAAGCAATAACTATTTTTAAATGTAAACTTGTAAGCAAATATTTAAAAAATACTTCAAATGAATTTAAAATATCTTGAGTGTTTTAGAAAACGTATTTCAGTTAAATAAAAATCTGATTTCTTTCTGTGGCCCCCTTTTCTACTTACACTAGAAAACCACGGTAGTATTTCTTATTTTTGTTTGCTTCATTAAAAAACCTTAGTTTGTTTTAAATTTGAAAAAGTTTAATATGTTTCTTAATTAATGTTTCTTCTCAACATGCGTTTACCATGACTTAACTATACTAAGTCTAAACTTTTCTATTAAACTTTATAGTCGTAAATAAAATTAAATCCGCCAACATGTAAATGAACATTTTTACTAGAGATGTATCGGAATTCCCGCCAGAAATTGTGTCTTTTAGGTCATTCCAATTCTGGCCAGACTTATAATATTTCAGGCCGGAATGCCGTAATTTATTATTATTATTTTTTTGTTAGTTGGCCTCCTCAAGCCTCCTCTACAGACGAGGAGGCTACTTAATTGTGGTTTTAACTCTCTCTCAACTCTATAACTCTGAAACACAAACCTTGACAGACAAGGCCACTGTGCAGAGAAACAAATTGAGCGCGGTACTACCAGGGACGTGGTGGGGATCAAACTCGGAACCTCTTGCTTATGAAGCGAGTGCTCTACTACTACACTACTACCGCAGATAAATAAAACAGACAACTTGATTTTATAACTTATACAGCATTAATTTTAGAAGTAACAATTTATTAATTTTTAGTAACTTTTATATTTATTACTATGTCATTCATTGTGTTGATATTTTTTGTAATAATCAAGAAAGTACAAGATAGTAAAGGTGCGAGACCAAGACTAAGACTCCAGGCTTTGAAGAACAAGACCGAGACTCCCAGCTTTAAGACCAGGACCAAGACAGTTAAATATGAATGTCAAGACGTCTCAAGAACAAGACTTAAGTCTTGAGACCTACATCTCTCATATATATATATATATATATATATATATATATATATATATATATATATATATATATATATATATATATATATATATATGATTTATGGTGACATACAATTTATTCTACTTATAATTTTGTGTCACATATCTTAAATAAATTTTACTTTATTTATTTAGGATATGTGACACAGACTGTGTAAATGAAATCAAAAAATATTTTCCTACAGAGCAACGAAGAACTATGCGAAAATCTAGGTAAAAAATACACATACAATGTAATTTTAGGTAAAACTACAATTTAGCACTCTAAATTTTATTTTGTTGCTTGTTGCGCTCTCGTTAAGAGAGTTTTTAAACAGAAATTTCAATTGAGATAAAAGAAAAAAGATTGGTGCCCTATGCCAAATTCTCAGTCAATGTAGCAGCACTTCCTTGTAGAAGCAGACTACATTAATTGATGTAGCAACACTTCTAATTCTTTTTCAAATCAATTATCTTGTAGCAGCAGGCTACACGATAATTGTAGCACTCCTTTGTAGATTTAATAGCACTCCTTTGTAGCAGCAAGTTATAAGATATTTGATATATGTACTAAAGCCAATAAATATTCTTTATGTTTATATTTATGTTTAAATATTCTTTGTTTATATTAAAAAGTTTATGTTATATATATATATATATATATATATATATATATATATATATATATATATATATATATATATATATATATATTATAGGTTATAAACATATATTATGTAGCCACGATGCTGAGGTACAGATTTACACATTCAATCTTGAAGGAAAAAAACTACATAAATATAAATCTCATTCCAGCTAGAATTTTTCAACAATTCCGGCAAATCCGGTTCCGGTCAGAATTCAAAATTTCTAATCCGGTACACCCCTAGTTTTTACCTAATAAAATTACATAATACTGCATTAAAACTTTTTGTTAAAAAGCCTGAGAAAAATAGACATTAGAAAAGTAACTTTTGAATAAATTAATGACTTTGCTAATACTATAATGAACGAATTTGAGAAAAAATGAAATGAAAAAAAAATGCAACTTTTTATAATAAAACTTGTATAACTTGAATAAACAAATAATAATAATAAATTATGATCTCATATTGAAAAAATTAAATTTTTTCACATATATTTATTATGCAGACATTTTTAAAGATTCAGGATGGCAGTTGTACAAAAATGCCAAAAAAAAGCAAAGATAGATCTACTTTGGCATTTGCATTGCCAAATGCGGACCTGGATTTTTGGGGACTAAATATATTTATAAATAATTATAATTTTTTTATTATTTATATAATATTATAAATAATAAAAAAATTATCATTAGGCTAAAAAAAAGTCAAAAAAAAGTCAAAATAAAAAAATAAAAAAATTACAACTATTATATGGTTTTAAGTTATAAGTTTTTTTTTTTTTTAAAGTTTTAAAATTCTTTTTTATTTTTTAAAAGTTTTAAAATTTTGATTTATTTTAATTTTTCTAACTGCTTATGTGATAACATATATAGTTCAGTGTTATGTAATAATTCAATTTATAACCTTGACACCAGCTTTAGTAATGGAAATAGTTTGCTGCTCCATTGCCTCATGAATAGCAACTTGGTCTCTAGGATCCATCTTATCAAACTCATCAATACAACATACCCCCTAAAAACAATAGGTTTTATTTAATAAAAACCTTAAAAATCTCATCCTTGTCATAATCATCAATTAACAAGTTAAAAACTAAACTTAGGGTGCATACATTATCTGCCAACATTAGGGCTCCAGCTTCTATAACAAACTCATTTGATTCTTCATCTTTGACAACTGCAGCAGTAAGACCTGCTGCAGAACTTGCTTTACCAGATGTGTAAACTGCTCGAGGAGAGAAAGACTCAACTTGTCTGTAAAGTTAAAAATAAATAAAATTAAAGACTTTAAACTAATTAAAAACCAAAATTATTATTATTTAACAATAACTTAAATTTCAAATAAAATAAATTTAAATTAAACTTAAATTTCAAATAAATTTAAATTTTTAAAAAATACCGATCTTGGTAATACAAAAATAGTTCAAAGTAAACAAAAACTAAATAACAAAATTGCTAGAGTATCTGAAACATTAAAAATCCTTGAAACATAAATGATTTTAAATGTAACAATTATTATGAGTAACATTAACATATTGGGGAGTTGGGCAGTGAACTAGCAAAACAAAACTTTGTTATTTATCTAAAGATCTTCCTATAACTCTTAAGAAGCTGGACAAGCTCACTTTTAAACGTTCAAAATGATTTAAAACAATAAATCAAAGTAACTTAAAATCTGGTTTAATTCAAATTACAGTTAACTTTTGAACTTAGTAACTTCTATGCAAACAGAAAATCAGGAGTAAATTCCTTTTTAACCTGAAACCAGTTTGTTTTTATCTATTATTATCGAATATACTTACTTTAAAAACTGACTTTTTGCAGTACTAGGATCACCCACAACACACACGTTAATATCACCTCTTAGAGAAGTACCTTCTATTGTTCTTTTAGCCACACCTCCAAATAGCATTAGTAAAACTCCACGTTTAACTTCATCACTACCTAAATTTAAAATGAAATTTAGCAACATTAGGGCAAAATATTTTTAAAATTTGCAAAAAATGTTTTTATTTTTTTAATTTATAAATCTAGATTATAAAATAACTATTATTTTATTTTTTTTAATAAATAAAAAAAAATTGATAAGTGAAATATATATATTTCTTTGAGATATGCTTTTTACTTAAACTTATTTGGAGTTATCCACAAATAACTTCATGCAATAAGGGGGAGCATAAACCCTCACTTGATAAAACATAAATTGAAATTGACTTTTTAAATTGACTTGAATTTTAGATGTTTAATACAGACTTAGTTTATAAATCTCATAATAATGAATAACCCCTTACTAATTCTATATTAATTAATAAATCCCCTATATTAATTAAATCCCCTATATTAAATAAATCCCCTATATTAATTAAAATCCCCTATTAAATTAAAACATCTAAATAAATCCCCTATTAAATTAAAACATCTAAATAAAGTTAAATACTTCAGTAATGGTGCTGCGTCACAGTATAAAACTACAAATGTCTAATAAACCTAATTTATCACATTGTAGATCACTAAATAAATGCTGAGCATCACTTCTTTGCTACGTCACATGACAAAAGTCCTAGTGATAGAATAGGAGGTACTATAAAAAGAGAAGCAGCAAAAGCTAGTCTACAAGCAGCAATTACAAATCAGATTCTCACACCACAAGATCTGTTAACATGGGCTCAAAAAAAGATCAAAGGTGTTAACATATTTCATCTTTCAAGTGACGATATCAATAACCATGAAACAAATTTTAACCTTCAGAAACGATATGAAGGGATGCGCACAGTTTCGGGAACAAGAAGCTATCACTGTTTTGTACCAGATGGAGAGAAATTATTTTTACGAAGAATCTCTAGTGATACTGTCTATGATATTCATGTGTTAATTGATGTTAATTTGATTTAAAAATCCTTCAAATTTTCAACCTGGCAAATATATTGCATGCTTTTACAATGAAGAATGGTACGTAGGTCTTGTGGTTGATATTTGTAATGAAAACCAAGGCGTTAATGTGAAGTTTATGCAAAGAAACAAATTAAATTTAAAATGATGCACGATCAAGTCAGTGTTGGGTTCCGTTTGACAAGATAATATGTCAAATAAGTGTTCCATTGATTAAAAGTATAAGTGCTTGTGACTATATTCTTGCTAGTAATGACTATGACAGTATTATGAGTTACATAAATCAGAGATAAGCTAATTAGTTTCATGTATACATACTTTTTCTTTTAAATGACTATCTTACTCTTTGAATGCACTTTTTTACAGTATAGTTTGTATAAAATTTAAGGTAAAAATTTTGTATGTGGTAAGTAGTATTTTTTTGTTCTCCTTTTAAAAATATCATCACTCTTAAAAGGCTACAATCATGTCATAAGATAGAGTATAGGTCTTTAAATTTTTTTTGGTGATCTATATATAGAACTTCAACATTAAAAAGTTTCATAATTTATTTCAACTGTTTACGCTACTTTCTATGCCAGCAAAGTCGATGTAATTTATCATAATTTAAAAAAAAAGGGATTTTTTAATAGGCTGCTGCATGTTTTAAATTAACTTTTAATGCATAATTTTGATTATTCTAACAAGTGGTGACCCTAAGTACAAAAAGGTAACAAAAAAATCCACTTTCTGTAAGTAAGTATGAATCTGTAACACGTTAAAGTTCGAAAAAATATTTATAATGTTGCAATATTTAGCAACTTCAAGGTACAATAACTCAAAAACTGTAAAAAAATCAGTAAAAACAACTGCAATAATGGATTATTTGGGTGAAAAACTATTACCCTACAAATTTCAGGTGATCACCATCTTCATTTATAAAGTTATGGTTTGTCAAAAATCGAAAAAAGCTGCTGTAAGCTCCTGATGCACAAATTTTTCAGATTTTGGTAATTTTTAATACAATCATAACTTTTGAACAAATTGGTCAATTAAGCTGAAATTTTCTGGATTGTATTTTTTTCATAAAATCTGTGTGTGGTCAAAATTTAAAACAATTCTGAAGGTGGTACCCTGGGAGCCTTTAGGTGATTTGATATGGAATAACCTTTAACTAGTCCCAAAAATATCTGATATCCACTCGTCACTAGTTTTTCTATTACTTACGCCATTGTCAAAATGAACTGCCTTGAGGTCCAAAGAAAATATGTGGTTTACACAATTTAAAGATTTCTATGTATCGGTAAATCTAGCACTGCTATTCATAGGGGACAAAGTTGTATTTTGTGAATCTGCTAAGTTATTTTTTTCTTTCTCAATCGAAGTAAATAAATCAGCGGTATTTAAATTACCTAATGATGTCTTAAACTAAGTATTTATGCAGTCTGGAATTTTTCTATATGGTCTACTTTCCTTAATTGACTTTCAACATAATACAACTTAACATACTGCCTTCTTCATCAAAGCTCATTTTTAACTTTAAAAAAATATTGAAAGGAAAAAAAAGGTGGCAAAAGTGAATACCGGACCAATGAGAGACAGTTAAAAAAAGAAAAATAGCATCTAACGCAAAAAAACTTCAAGCAAAATAAATACGATTAGAGCAAATTTTTTTTGAAATGTCTTTGAAGTTGCTCTTTTATAATTTTTTTTTTTAAATTAAGCTACATTTTTTATATAAAGTAACAACTTACTTTAATGATTGTTTAATAAGGAAACAAATGTTCTTCGATTTATCAAAGAGTATATATAACTTTTATTTATATACTTATGTCTTATTTCCAGTGCTGGATTGAGGTGGGGGGGGGGGAAGACGTTAGAAGGGCTATAGCCCTGGGACTCACAATGTTAGGGGCTGCGAAATAGTCATGAGGACCATTTGGTATTTGTTTTAGTCAATTTTACGCTATGGCACATAAAAAAGGCAACCAAAATAATGTGGCCCCCGGCCCTGAAAAGTCCAACAAGATTCAACTAATAAAACTAACGCTAGATCATTTATTTATGAATAAAAAACTTTTTTTAATAACTATTTTATGCTTCGCGTAGTTTGAAAAGTTTAACACATTTGAAACAATTCTTCTTAGTAAGATGAACAAATGAATTAATTAAATCATTGAGTTACTGTAGAAATTCGATTAGCTAGAAATGAACTAAAAACTTTAAATTACTTTGTAAGAAGGAAGCGGAACTGCTTTACAATACCGCTGATGATGTTTAGTGAGTGGGCTTAATAATTTTAAATTGTATTTAAAACAGAAAAAAGTAACTTTAAGTTTAAGTGTAACGAGTTTGTAAGAATGGCTGAAGCAAAAATAATTGAAGTTAATAAACCAATTTCTAAGAACTTAAAAACTTTTCTTTCTTGTGGGAAGAATCAGTTATCTGCACACTGAGAAAAATGGATTAGTGGTTAAAATTATTTGTATTAACTTGGATGATTATTAATAATTTCATTGAAAACGCAGTTATTATTGAAAGTATTTTTGTTTACAAAATCAATTGCACAAATTGCTTTAAAAGATTAATTTGAATAAAATACACATACATAAAATTACATGCATAAAAAATACATACATAAAAATACATTACATACATAAAAATATGTTACATACATAAAAAATGCATTCCTTTTATATAAAAAATAAGAATATACTAATAAAATCTATATAATGTTTACAAAGCGTTGACAAGTTAAGAAATATCAATTTAAAACATTTATTTTTGTAAACAAATAATGTTAGTTTAAAACATTTATAGCTTTGTAGATGTAGCTCTGAGAATTAAAGTAATAGTGCATTTGATAGTATATTCTTAAAATAATTTATGCTTGAAATCTCAACGAAAACATAATAAAACTCAAATAAAAGAATTTTTAAAAATATTTCAACAGAATACTCTAAAACATTCGGTTAGTATTTTTGGAATACTCTAGAAATTTCAGTCAGTATTTTTGAACAAATATAATTAGTTGTTCGTATATTTGGTTGGATTTTTGTGTTTGCGAATTTTCTTTTTTTATTTTTTCGCACAAAGATGTTTGAGAACATTTGAGTTTATGTATGTTTCCATGTATGTCCGTAAAACAAAATATTTTAAAAGTTACGATAAAATAATAATACTTTTGAAGTTTTAAGTATGTGTGTGTATCCCTGATACACACACATACTTAAAACTTTAAAAGTCTTTTTTTAAGGCACTTAAGCTGTCCCTAAGCATAAAAACCTAGAGCTCAAATAAAGGAACAGATTAGATAGACTTTAAAAGTAAGACTTTAGTCTTTTAAGCTCCACCCTAAATAAGAAAGCTCTAAATAATTTATAATATTCAGAGTATTACCATGAATTGTTGGAAACATGCTGGTGATGAGATTATGATACAAACTTTTATCTTGACTCATCTCATAAATTTTATGCCACTCTTGTTCTGTCATTTGCTTTTTAATAGCTTCTGCAGTCATATCCTCAGCAGATAAGTCTTTTCCTCCAAAACGAGGATTAGTTGGAGTAACACTGCATGCCAAAAATGCAAGACGATATGTTAAATCTCGAACTCCAAGAGATTTTAGGCCTCTGACACCTTCTATATCACCTATTATATAAAAACATGATTTTATTGTGTGTGTGTTTTTTTTTGAGAAAAAATTTAATAAGAAAAATGACACAGGTAATGTAATAATAATGTAAACTGTACCACCACTTTTTCCACGATTTCCTCGAGTTTCTGCTTTAGAACCAGGCATGTTGATTTGAGCAACATCAGGGACAACAATTAAAGTTCCTGTAAAATCACATTTATCTCCAGCTTGAGCATGCTCAACAGCTTCAGCTCGTAAAATTACTTCAACACTAAAGAGAAACATAAAAAAATGTACTTATACTTTTAATCAAAAATTTTATACAATATTAATAAAGTACAAAATTTTTAATTAAAAAAAATGAATTACAAAACACAATAATAAAACAAGACTTACCTTCTAGGTATGCAACCATGTGGAAGTTCTGATTGAGTTTCTTGTATTCTTACTTTTTGAAAATCAACAAAACGTGATTTATCAAGATCTAATTGAAAGCGCTGTCTATTCTGACAAACAGGATTTTTGCATACTGATGGCTAAAATAACAACTAATGTCAATAATTTTAAATGAACAAGTTTAATACAGTTAACTTACAAACAAAATTTTCTTTTTTTACAATTACTCGTTGAAATTAATTGTTAATAAAAATCAATATGGATAAGTTAATTTCTGTAATTCAATTGTTGATATAATTTTTTTTTAAATATATAAATATCATAAAATATAGAATTAGGGAGAAACTCATTACTTAAAAAACAGAATCTTTCTTTTTTCCATAAATATTAAATATCAACATAACAACGCAAACTAGAACTATTATAAACAAATATAACAATAATGGTCATTAATCAAAACATAAAAGCTACCCTTTTATTAGCACAAAATCCACATTTAATTTCACAACTTCTTTTTAATTGCAGAACTCAGTCAGAATTCAGTATTATTTTGATATCCTCATTAACTTTTCATTTCCCTTCCATTTCCTCTATCTTTTTTGCAAACAGGGTTTTAGATCATTAATTATCCAATTACTTTTTTCTTGCCTGTTTACAGTTATCTTACAAATCTTTTTTTATATTAACTTCACGTGCCATGATGCGGTGAAGTAATCTTAAATAGAATGTATAGAGGTGAGGATGTCAGTGGGAGGTGGCAAAGGTGTGAATATTTCTTTGACAATTTGATGATGTCATCATCAAATTGTCAAAGAAATATTCACACCTTTTGGAGAATTTAACTATAAACGATGGGGAAATAAACTTAAGACATTTAGCAACCAGTGAAGACAAAGAGCTCTTAATAATGAGTATAGATTGAGACAATGAATACAACAATTTCACATATTAATTTAGACATGGGAAATCTTCTCCTTACTCTTAAAATGCTGGAGCACATACTTCAATGAAAAATATTAATCTTGTTGGTTGAACGCTGGTTTGCAATCAAGCCTTCATTGCATTTTTGGCAACACTCTGCAGTCTTCTCAGTTTGAAATTTATTGCCATGGCATGGGGCGCTGGCCAGATGGTCATTTTTAGGCTGCTGTACAAAATAATTAGAAATTATTTTGTTTAATATATAAGTATTAAAATAAAAATAAAGAAAAAGGCTTTATATAAAAATTAAACATACTAATTAAAAAAAAAACAACGGAAAGACTAACGTTTTATTTAAAATCTAAATAAATTAACTACATTAAAAACGACAAAACAAATGTTTTATTTAAATTCTAAATAAGATGATTAAAATAAATACGGTAAAACAAATTTTTTATTTAAATTCTAAATAAAATAATTCATAAATAAGTACTTTTTTTTAATTAATAATTCATACTTAAGTGATTTTTATAAAAGCATTTAATAAACAAGACAGATTTGTTTGAATTTATAAAAAATACTTCTATTTCTTCTTTGTTTTTAGCCTACCAACCAACACAAAACATATAAGCGAAATTGGTACATTAAAGACAATAATTTCATTATTGTTTCAAATTATGGATTTGGCACAAGTTTCTAAAGACCATTTGATAGCTTGTAAACTAAATGTACTAACAACAATGAGTGTATTTAATTCTTAGTTGATGTTCTTTGCTGAGTATTTCCAAAAACAGATTAATTATGTTAGGGCCATCCATAAATACCTTAAGGATTTTTTATCATTCAAACCAGTCGTGCAAAATTTAAACTAATTTAGAATATTTGGGGCAGCAGCTTTTTCTATGAAGTTTAACATCTTGTATAAACAGTATCAATTTCTTCATTTCAATACCACACATGTAAGTCACCAAATCAATTCTGCTCTCAAAACTGCTTTCTTTTGACGCAAATCAGAAATGTTATATCACTTTAATAAGATAATAGCCTTCTGTGGTTCTGGTTGCACACCTTCTTTAAATTAAATAATGTGCCCCACTTTAGGTAATTGCATTATATGTATTGGATGTGGATCAAGAGCCTTGATACCCCTGCTACTGAAAGTAGCTTGAAAACAAACTTTGCACTTTGCATAGCTGATTCTTATTTTTCTGAAGCCAAGATAAGAAATTATCATTACTTAACATAATTTCTTGAAATCTACTTTTATATTTAGGCATCTATAGCAATTTGTGTAAAACATATAATTATCTTTTGCATTACAGTCGCTGCAAATTAAAAAAAGAGGGTTGGTTGAACACAAAAATTTCTCCACTGAAGTGTGGTGTTCACTTGTAGAGAACAAACTTAAATTACTGATGGAAAGTGAAAGACGTGATTTCAAATTATTTCTAGTAAACTGTATAATTATTAAACTTAAAATTTTTATATAAAATAAAATGAAACAAAAAGTTTTACTATGTTTAAGTAATTAAAATGCTTATTTTTATTGTGAGTGTTATCATAAACATTTTATTTTCAAAACATAAAACTAAAAACATAATTAAATGAAAAACAATAATAAATTTACCTGAGTATACTTGAACTGTTGTTCAACATCTTTAATCACAGTGCGGCAATCCAAGCATGTAAATGTTCCACTTACTAATTCAGGATGAACAGGATGTGTACGAACAACTTGTCCACTTATACGCAACAAAGATCCAATTTTTGTGGTTGACAATTCACGAACTCTTGAAAAAAAATTTAATGAAGCAAATTAGAGTATGCTTCCTGAAAAAAATATGTTTTATTTCTATGCAATATCTTTCATGAGATTGCATGATGAATTTTTGATACAATTACTTTAGTACGCTAAATTGTGTTTTCAAAACTTCACCAGAGTTTTGCCAATTGTGTATTGTAGCTGTTGCACAAAAAAAGCAAACTTTTACAGGGTTCAATTTAACTTTTCGTAAAGTCCTGGACAAAATGTCCGATCAAAACTTTTTTGGGTCGGAGTGTGTCCGATCAAAATTTTAAAATTAAATTTTTACCATTTTACGGAACCAAGTTATACAATCGAAACCTTTGTTCATGTTTATTTAATGTTAGTCTAGTGAAGTTGTAGTTTCTTTCCTTATTATTTAGAATATTTCATTTTTTGTTTTTTAATAAATTGTTTCAATTTAATATTGTATGTTTTTTTAGATAGACCTAAATTTTCACGCTGTAACTGACAACGTTTACAGGCCTTGCGATAAAGCGTCGGGCGATGTGAATTTTACGTCGTCCAAGAGTGATTTTGCATGTAGCTAGGGCTATTTGCGTCGAGCAAAAAATTTTTTGTTTGAGTATATTTAAAGATATTTTTGAGCGGAATTTTAATGAAGTAATTTACGATTATTTTAACATTTAATAAAGTATTTTAAAAACCGCACGCAGTTGAAATAAAAGTTTGAATTAAAAAAAATTAAATATGCTCATTATTTACAAGTAGAAAAAATTCAGATTAAAAAAAAAGTTTAAATCTTTTAAGCTAACATTTTAATAAAATTATTCAGCAATAGCAAAGTTTTCGATAAAATTGAACAAAAATACTTTCTTTTAGTTTTAGATTTTAAACTTAAATAATTATTTTACGGGGGTTTGTTAGGTTTTAAAAAAAAAGATTTAAAAATATTTATTAACTGTTAGACGTATTTAAAGTATTTAAGAGTAATTTCGAGGAAACATTATAAAAATTGGTGAGCACAAATAAAAAAAAAAAAGGATTAATATTAAAACGTATTCTACTTGATTCAATAAAAAAGTACAGTTATTAAAATTTTTGTAAAAAGTAACTCAAAAAAATTACTTAAATAATAACGATCGCTTTTATGTTAAAAGTTACCGAAACTCAACGAAGCGTGCTCAAGAACAGCTGCTGAAAAATAAAACGTCAATAGTTTTTCGATAATAATTTTTAAGAATAATTTTTAATAATAATTTTTAATAATAATTTTTTTGCTGAAATATTTCTTTTATGCCTATAAGATTTTTATTCTAACATTTTATTTTATATTACTTGAAATAAAATTCCTTGTTAACATTAAAAATTTATTCAAAACGTTCGTTTAAGTTTTTATTAATATGAGTGATTGTGCTTATCAACCGCTTTATGAAAATAAAAACAAATAAATAAATATTATATAAAATCGATTGTAAAAATATTAGCTATTGCACAGTTTTTAATCGTACAATATTAAAATTTCCAGTTTATTACTCGCTGACTTTTTAAAAAGAAAAAATAATTATTTAAATTACATATTTAAGGAAAAAAAAAATCAAATATTAACATATTTTATAATCTTTTTTAAATTTAAGTTATAATGTTTTTTATTCGTTTAGTATAGACAAAACGTGACAAATGTCGAGAAAATAAACTAATGTTTTTACATTTTAAAAAACGAAACATTCCAAAACATTTTTAAATAATAACATTTCTACAAAAACGATTTAAAGTAGTTTTGTGGTAATTAAGTAAATTGGTGCAGTTAATGTCGATAAATATGAAAAGCAAATAAAAATAATTTAATGACGTCAAAAATCACGTTGTGCTTATGCGCCACGCAGTTCATATTCATCGCAAGGCCTGCGCTTATAAATTTTTTCTTTGAACTGACAACAGCTGTTTTGATGTTTCAACAATTTAAATGCAATTTAAAAAATTGTTTGTTACGAATAAGTTTTAATCTTTGATCTTTTATTTTACGCGACAGTTTTAAATAAAATCAAAATTAATGATAATGATTGTTTAAAATAAATGCATTATGTGTAAATTAAATGTTATATTTAAATATTTTTAGTATTTTTTATAATGTATTTAAACGTTTAAAACTATTTTCCATGTCGTTCTAAAAATATTTTATAAGATTACTTTTTTAAGTTATTTTTTATTTAATTATGAAAAAATAAAACCTTCCAATAATTTAATTGCTTTATTTTTATTTATTTTTTTTCGATTCTATTTTTATAAAGAATTGTTTAAAAGTTTTTAAACTTGACTTGCTAATTAAATCATGAAATGATTAAAAATTACGATTTTAAAAAGACTACATTATTTTTTATAACATTTTTTTTTTTTTTTGCAACTTTTTGAAAAAAATGTTTATGCAACATAAAAATATTATACATTTTTCTTTTCAAAAATTTAGTTTCACTTTTCAATAATTTAAAATGTGTTCATATATTAAACAATCATAAGAAGTAATTTGTAAAAGCGTTTTCATAAAAGCATTTTCATAAAAGCGTTTTCATAAAAGCGTTTTCATAAAAGGGTTTTTTGCTTAACTTTAATTAACGTTTTAAAAGATCAGTTTTTTAATTTAATTAACATTTTAAAAGATCAGTTTTTAAAGTAATTTTTTTCAAATCCAATTAAAAACGTAATAAAAAACAATTATAACTTCGAGTTTTTTTAGTTTTATTTTAAAACTAATTTATTTTACTTTGTAACAAATTGTTTGGCTTATTCTTTAGTTTTTTTTAACTTTTTTCCTAGTTTATGTTTAGCTTAATGTTTCTTTTTTCAGCGCATTTCTGAAACGTTTAAATTATCATAACATCTAAACAGTTGTGGCCAAGTTGTAAACAAAAAAAGTCATTTGCGTGGTCAGCAATAGCGTTTGATCGCATGCCATTGGTATCCAAGCTTTATTTGGTAGAATTTGATTCCCGTCAGTCAAAATCTCTGATTACATTGTAAATTGATCGAACAATATCTGGTTTTAGCTGGACAATGTCCGATGTCGAATCGTTAAACTGAGCCCTGCTTTTATAATAAATATAAATATAAATAAAATCAAATTTAGACCCATCTTTTATTGCCTAACTATCAGTTTAACAGTATTCAAATAAAAAGATTAAATGGTGTCCCCCAAATTATAAACTATTTATATAAAGAAAAGATTAAATTTTAAAATAATTTTGATAAATTCATTATTTACCAATTTCTTTAAATTTATCACTGTAAAATATGCAGGCCTGACGGAAGGCTGGAACAATAGGTAACACACTTTCACCCAGGCGCCAAATTTTCATTGAGTACTTTTTTTAAATAAATTTATAAGAATAATTATATAAAAATTAATATACTTATGTAAGAATAAGTATATATTAATTTATCATAATGAAATATTCATTAAAAAAAAGTATAAAACTTGTCTTTATTGATGAGACATATAATAAATTTACTTGGAGCTTTGTTTATATTACCAAAGAATTATAGTTTTATTTTTGAAAGAATTTATTTTTTTTATTAAATAAATTATATAAAACTATAATAAAACTATTAAGTCTTGTCACAAAGAACCGCTATTGAAGAAATAAGAAATTTGTTCAAAACCAAGTTTTAAAATGTTGATGCGCTTGCGCTTTCTCATCAAAATCAGCATATAATTAATTAAAAAATGACCTGTCTAAAACGACAACTAATTAAAGGTTACCTAGAATATCAAGACTTATTTAAAAACCATGCTTCAAACGATTGTAGTAAATTAGCGCATGATGTAATTGATGTGCAAACTCTTTTAAAAGTATTTTTATGATGCTACTTCTGCTGCATCAATTGCCAGCATATGAAAGCCTAATGTTGCTTTCCTTCATCAATAGTAAACTTTTTATGTATAAGTTTCATTGATTATTGTAATAAATAAATAAATAAAAAGATCTTTTAGTTTTCAGCTGCAGTCTTGCTAAATCGAAGATCTTGCTTTACAAGCTTTCAGACACCAGACCTTCAGCTCAAATTGCCACTATAAAACTAATTACAAAACAATCACAGGAAATTACTGTTGCCCTAAAGCCATCATTTTACCTTCAACCAAAACATTGACCCATGATGAACAGATGACACCTCTTGGCGATAAAACAGAATTTTTTTGCAAAGCGAATGATGATAACAAATTTGCAATGAATTTAGATATGCAGTTTTTTTCCATAAATTCTCCGAACATAAACGTAAAGTAAATATCTTTAACATTGAGCTTTGTCATTTAAAATTGGGTTCATAAAAAATGTTTCATTAAAAATTCTTATTTATCTGGTTGAAAGATCAAGAACCGGTAAAAATGAAAGCTTGAAACAGAAGACAACTTTATGGAAGATATTTCGCACCTTAATAGTTTGAAGTAGTTTTCATTTTCCACTTCTGGAAACACTTTAGGCTTTCTCCACCAACTATACTCAAAAGGTCTATAGCTATTTTTTAATCTATAAGATCTATATGAATTCTAATTCTAATTTTTTAACGCAATCCCAGTATATGTCGCAGAAGGTGAATTTTTTTTTTAATTTAACATTGGTAGATTTTATATAAAATTTATAGATATTATATAAACTAAGTTACAGTAAAATACTATACAAACCGATGATGGTGACTTTGTACCACATGTAAATTTGTTCAAACTTTAATAGCTACTTTTGTGAACGACTTTTAAGTAAATTAAAACTGATTTAAAAAATTATTGTGGGACTACTATAAAACAAAAGACTTAAGAACGTCTATTGGACATAAATGTTAAAAATTGGATACAACTCTGTTGTAAGATGACATAAATATAATCATTTTTGCTGTAAAAAAAACAAAAAAAAGAGTTTTGAATATTTATTTCAAAAAACCTGTATTATTTAATTCCAGATTAGATCCAGATTTTCATAAATATATTGATGTAAGTTAACCGTGCTTGAAATAAAAACACAGTCATTAACTTGTATAATTGTACATGTTTTATTTCACAAATATGCATTCTTATAGAGGCACCTAATTGCTTTTATGCTCCGGGTGTCATGAAAGCTCTGGACCGCTTTGATCATGCATGAGTATTTTTTTGCTAATCAATTGTTGACATTGCTTAGAAATATTGTTTTTGAAAAGTACTTTTTTCAAGATACACTATTTATAATCTTCTTTCAAAAAAATTGTATTTAAATACATTACAAAATTTAAGGCGCCAAAATATTTTCACCTACCTTTGAAATGTCTAGCGCTGGGCCTGAGTATATGATTAATTTTATTCAAAAAACAAATATCAGATTCAAAAATTAGAGCAAAGCTAATAAACAAAAATAACTTATTCTAATATATGTTAAGGATTCATAAAATTTTAAACTTACTTGTGTCTTGTTGGTAAATCTATGAAGCTTACATAAAACTCTTTTGTTAAGGGAACTTCACCTCGATCTCGTGCGAAATTACGAACTGCGCGACATAAATATGGGAAGACTCTGAAAAAGTTATATAACTTCAACCATTACTTCAAAAATACCAAAGAGGAAACTGCAATCAAGTTAAATTATATAGGTTTTAATTTACCGATAATATTCTTCTTGAATAGTGGTAGCCAACTCTGATTTGTACTTTTCTAAGTCATGAAAACTTATTACAAGTGTATTTCTTTCAGGGCGAATAAGTTCTTGAGCTTCAGCTAAATACTTTAAGTCACCATCATCATCTTTATACCTAAACATCCAAACAAACAATACATACAATATAAAAACATATAATAAAAGTAGACTAAAACAGATGACCTAAGCAACATAAATTGACAATGGTAGAGATTTATTTACTTTGACTAACATAAATGAAAAACAAAATATATATGAAAATTTGAAAAAGAATTAAGTTAGGAAGCAATAGACCTTCATTGTGTGGGACAATGAAGCAGCTCCGCCATTTTTCTTTTTTTAATAACTCAAGTCACAATATATATGTATGTATGTATGTATGTATGTATGTATGTATGTATGTATGTATGTATGTATGTATGTATGTATGTTTGTATGTATGTATGTTTGTATGTATGTATGTATGTATGTATGTATGTATGTATGTATGTATGTATGTATGTATGCATGTATGTATGTATGTATGTATGTATGTATGTATGTATGTATGTATGTATGTATATATATATATATATATATATATATATATATATATATATATATATATATATATATATATACATATATATAAAATTATATAAAATTAAAATAAATGTTTTTTTAATGATATTTTAATGAAAAGTAAGTTTTGGTAATTAATGTTTTTGTTGTATAACGATAACAATAATATAACAATGATATAAGCGTACAACTACATAAAAGACTCTGATACTATGATGAAACATAAATCTAAATTATTGGCTCATTCGCAGATAAAACATTTCAAAAACATTCTATATGCGAAAAATATATTGTAGAAAAAAGAGACTAATCGAAAAAATAAAATTCTTGCGTACTCTTCCAAAAAGTCTTGAAACAATTTTTGACATCTTTCAGCCAACTCATCCTTAACACGTGGTATGCCAATAGTTGGGTCAGCAACATCCATTTTAGTTGAAAAATTTTATATTAAAAAAATTCAATTAAATCTTAGCTACTTCAATCTAGTTGGTTGAACTGTGCTTGAGCTAACTGATTACGCATTTTTGGCGCCAAATGAAAATTTAAATTTCAGTGCCGTTTTCTAAATAAGTGAGTATATATAAGTGAGTGCTAATAAGTTTTATTTAGAGTTTCTAAATGAGTGAGTACCAAATGAAAAAAAGAAACATTCAAGCTGCATGGCCAAGGTTTTCTTTTCTTTTTTTTACTTTTTAAGGTGCTCCAAAAAAACTGACAGTCTTATCACAGAGCGCCGCGGGAAACTATTTAACATGTCTCCGCATTACCGATGTTTCTTATATGTCCAGAAGAGAGGACAACGAGGTTTTTGAGCAACTAATTACTATTCAACTAACAATATGGTTGAATTTATTTATTTATTTTTTTTTAATAATTTTTTTTTTTTTTTGAAATTGGTGTTAGAACTCCCTACAAAAATCGATATACATGACTTTCGTTTCGTTAAAAATTATCAATAAAAAACAGAAAAACTTTTTGTTAAAAGCTTTTTGCAACTAAATGTATGCGGAAAATTACTCATATTAAATAAATATGCCTCGTCAACGGAAGAAGTTTTATTCAAATGACATTAAAGAAAAAACTAATCAGTTTTTTGTTTGTTACTCTTTGGAGTTCATTGAATACAGTTTATTTCTCAAATAAAAGTGTTTATTTAACCAATAAAGATAAGTATTTGGTTTTATCTAGGGGTGTACCGGATTGAAAATTTTGAATTCCGTCTGGAACCGGATTTGCCGGAATTGTTAAGAAAATTTCGGCCGGAACGAGATTTTTTTTTTTTTTTTTTTCAAGTTGATTAAGGTGCCCCAAGAAGTCCTTATGGTCTTATCACAGAGCACCGCGGAAGAGCATTTAATAGGAAGTTCACGCCTCCTTCCCAACCGATGTCGCAAAGCTTGTCCAGAGGTGGGGTTTGAACCACGGATCTTATGTTTCTGAGGCAAGTGCGCTACCACTGCGCCAAGGCTGCTCAATTTATGATTTATATTTATGTAGTTTTTACCTTCAAGATTAAAAGTGAAAGCCTGGACCTAAGCATCGTGGCTACATAATATATATTTATAACTTATAATATAATAACCTATAATACATTTTTGATGAAAAAAGAGATTGTTTGTTGCTTAAAACTGTTGCCCAAAACTACACAATATTGTGGTGCAACTCTTTTTGCACCACAATATTCCTAAACTTTTAGAAATCTTTACAAAAGTGATTACTGCAAATAAAGTTAGGCAAAGCTTCAGATATGCAGTCTAAAATAATTTTTATTTTATTGCTTGTTGCAGCTTTCGTATTGGAGACTTGCTCTAAGTCAGGGGTAGCCAGACTTTTAAGGATACGAGCAAAAGTTAAAAAACAATTTTGCGGGCAAAAAATATTTATTTTTATCAAAATATAGATGGCTAATAATTAATTAACAACAAGATATTTATTTTCTTTTTCAAAATTTACATATAATCATATAATAATAACAATAATAATATTATCTATAATAATACAAACAATATAATTATAATAAAATATAACTAATACGAGTAAATATAAATAATAATTTGAAAAAGAAGGTGTCACTCAAACAGAAGCCTGATCAAAGGAGTGACACCAAATAATTATAACAATAATAATTAAAAAATAATAATATAATCTATAATAATACAAACAATAAAACTATATAATATAACTAGTAAGAATAAATATAAATATAAATAATTATTTGAAAAGGAAAGTGTCACTCAAACAGAAACCTGATTAAAGGAGTGACACTAAATAATTATATCAACAATAATTAAAAATAATAATATTATCTGTAATAATACAAATAATATGATGACATGAGTGTCACTCATGATCAAAATGAGAGACATTAATTAATTATAACAATTAGTATAATAATAAAATAATAATAAAGATAAAAAATATGAACCGAAAATCGCTGAGAAAATAAAGAAAATAATAACAACGATAAAGCTAAAATAAGTTAAATAATAAGACAAAAAATATGAAAACACTCAATAACAACCACAAACAAAAATAAAAATAATTAGCAAAACAGAACAAATAAAAAACAAACCTTACACAAACAAAATGGCAAAACACAAAAACTCCATATATAACACAAAAACTACAAAACAAAAAGGCAAACACAAATACTTCTACAAAATTAAATTAAATTAAAAAAAAAGGACAAACTTTAGTTATTTTTTGCGAAATAAAAAAAAAGGTGTAGAAAATTTTGTAAAATAGAAAAACAGAAAATAACAATAAAAACAATTAGCACAAAAATAACAAACTTTACCTCAAACGAAAAGAGAAACACAAAAACTACAAAATGAAATGCATACAAAAAATGATAATATTTAACAAATATAATATTTAATAAAAATAATTAATGGTAATATTATAATATTAATTAATAATAAAAAATAATAATATAACAAATATTACATATTTGCCACAAAAAAAAAAGGTGTAGAAAAATTGGTGCGATCTTTTACGTTTAAATTAGTTCTTTTAATTATTATTTCGAATATTTTTCAAACTTTTTTCTTTTAAATTGGTACTTTGCTGTTAATTGATTTTCTTGTTTGGTTAATTTTTGTTTGATTAAATCTGTTTGTTCTTTTTTTTTCTTTTTTTTGTTTTACTTTTTCTTCAATCTTTTAGTTCGTTTATACCCTTCAATTATTTTCTTTTTTTACATTATTTCTAACTAATCTTTTTTATTATTTAAAAATTTCCTTCACTTTTCCTTTACTCTTTTTTTCCTTTTTACCGTCAGGGTTAGGGTTAGGGTTAGGGTTTGGGTTTTTTTTTTGTTTTTTTTTATAATTTTGTTAAATTATAATCATTTGTATCAAAGCAACATATTTATTAAGAGCGGTGAACTTGACCGTCTGAAACTAGTTTTTTGATGTCTAGATTGATTTTTGAGGTAGATAGAAGTATTAAATTAGAAAGATGGTTGTCTCCTAAATATCCAAATTATTTTTTGTCCACGGGCAGTGGTTTTGCCACCAAGTGGTGACTTTTTAATATAAACATAAAAGATATTTATTGGCTTTAGTACATACATCAACTATCTTATAGCCTGCTGCAACCAGGGAGTGCTGCTACGTCCATTATCTTACAGCCTGCTGCAACAATGGAGTGTTGCTACACCGACTATCTTATAGCCTGCTTCTAAAAGGAATCGCTGCTACATTGACTGAGGATGTTGCATAGAGCAGCAATCTTTTTTCTTTTATTATTTCAATTAAAATTTCTAATGTTTTAAAACTCTCCACTAACGAGAGCGCAACAAACGAAAAAATAAAATTATTTTAAAGCGCTAAACTGTAGCTTTACCTAAAATTACATTCTATTTGTTAACAATTTTGTATTTTTTACCTAAGTTTACCCATAGTTGTTGAATGCCCTATCATACTATAGAACAATGATTTTTTGATTTAATTAACACAGTTTGTTTCACATGTCTTAAATAAATAAAATAATAAATTCAGGCATTTCGGCCGTAAATATTTTAATTCCGGTCGGAACCGGATAACCTAAAAGTCACAAAATACGTCCGGAATTTCGGTACATCTCTAGCAGATGGTGTGGCACTTTTGAGATTATCTAAAATAATCTCAAAAGTGGTTATGATTACACATATACTCAATTAATCGCAAGGTTTGAACTATTTTGTTCTATCTATTTTTTTGTTTTGAGATAAAACGATTTAAAATATAAAAACTTTAAGAGACGGCATATAAAAAGATTCTTATTACGTATGTTTTCTCCAAAAGTTTTTTGATTTTAACTAAGGTTTTAATATAGTGGAAAAACATTATTTTAAGGTCCATGAAACAATATATAACTCAATTTTTTCAAAAAGTGCACAAAATAATTCTAACCTCGCGTAATTGCTCACTGTTATCATGCAATTTTATTTTACCAAAATGTTGTAATTTAGAGTCTCGACACTGACGTGTTTAGAACATGTTCATAATAAATTTTAATAATTATAATTAAATTAATAAAATATATATTACGGTGTTTAAAAAAAAAGAACTTTTCAAAAATTTATTCAACATTGCTTCTCATCTATACCTTATTCAGACCACTCCATCATTCTCGCAATGATCCTAAAGTTCATTTTTAGACCATTTTTGAGCCTTTTTTCAGTCAAATTGCGGGGAATCTTCCAGTAGACCAATTTTGAAAAATTAAACGTTTTTGGGCAATTTGATGCATTAAAATTTAATTAAAATCTAATATTAAGCTTCATTTGTTTAAATAGTGGCTTTCTTTAATTTTTGACGTTTAACAGTATTTATTATTTTTTAATGATGCCAGAACATAAAAAAAGTTTTAGCACAAAGATTCAAAGAAAAAGTTCAAAATCAGTTTTCTTTTGTCTCGTTTAGAGTTTCTTTTGTCTAGTTTAAGAGTGGAAAAATTTTTCCACTCTTAAACTACTCCTTATAGTCAACAACAAGGAGTACAAAGACTACAAGTGTCCTATCTTTTTCTTTTCTTTATTGGATTTGTTGATCAGCCCCAAATTAAAATTAGTTTAAGTAATAAATTTGTTTAACTTTATTGTTTCCACTTGAGGTTTAAATTCAATAAATTTTTTAAAAATATACCAGAAGTACAAGTTTCACAGTCCTCAGCTGCAATCATTAACTACGGTAAGAGATTTATTATTTGCTGTACTCCGCTCTTTGAAACTTAGTTTACTTATAACTTTTTTCTTTCAAAATAATCTGAGTTTTAAACATACAACCATTAGCTTCAAAACAATAGCAGACAGTATTGTTTTCTTGATGAATTAATTTTATAAAATGTTTTCGCACCTTTTCTTGAGAGAACTCTTTTCAAACTTGGATTTAATTCAATTTGTCTCATCGGTATTGTAAAAAGCATCTAGACATTCAAGGACATGAAGGACATGCTTCTTTAAAAATCGGGAAAATAGTTAAAAAAAGCTCTGGAAACTTTGCTGCCGCTCTACTAATAGATTCAGGGGGTACAAAGAACTATTCCAGAATTTCTTTAAGGGATGATCTTACCCAATATTTCGTTGGAAGTTCATTTTTGAACTGCGGAGTATCTGAAGATTTTCGAAGTTTCCGCAAGCCTGAAGCAGCCTTAATTAAATCATCCTTTGTTTTAAGATCACCCAAGTTAGATGACATAACAAGCTATTCAACAAATTTTTCTTCTTTAAGTTCAGTTAACACATTTTTAGGACTTGTTATTTTCAGATTTTCTCCGTTTTATCATTTTTTTTAAGGGTTAGTCTAATCGCACCTATATCATATTATAGTCTACTTGCACGTTTACAAAAAAATTCAAGTGAGATTTTTAATATGAAATCTCTCACAAACCAGCCGCGCAATTAGGTTTTCTGAAAAGGGGTTTCCAATTTTATGAATCCTTGGTTTTTACTTGAAAACCGAGGATTCATAAAATTAAACCTTGAAACCCAAAGCGTGTATGTTTATATATTATGTATTAGCTTTTTTGGCATAAAGTTATTTTCATATTCATTTCAAATTCTAACACTTTTCCTTCCTGTGGAACTTAACACAACAAAGTAGTAACAAGAAAATTTAATTTTTTAACAACTTAAAAAGGGGTTTCCGGGTTCTATGGAACCCCCCTAATTGCGCTACTGCAAACAAAAAATATTTATAATTAATTCACACCCAACGGGCATTTGATGGTTTAAAATTGGTTTAGATCACGTTTAGATGGCATTTACGTCGATCTAAACGTTTAGGAATCTATTCTAAACGTGTTCTGAATATTTAATTTGCGTTTAGATGACATTTACGTCGTTCTAAACGATTAGGAATCAATTCTAAATGAGTTCTGAATATTTAGTTAGCGTTTAAGCGCTAAATCATGCCGGTTTCCGTTACTTCGATTAGCCCAGAAGGGATTTCGCACAGAATGAAACGGACATTTTGGATCTTTCATTATTGTTTAAAAATTTAAATTTCATATGAATATTAAATTATGTAGATAGTAGTTTAGAAAACTTAAAAGAAATTTGAGTAAACAAAAATTGAGTTAACGGATGTTTTAGGAGGATTAACTTTTTGATAATGACCTTTAGACATGCTTGTTTGTATATTAAAACATGCTTGTTACCATATTTAAAATCGTTATTTAGTTTGATTTTCTAATGGCATAAAATAGAATTGAATAGAATTGAAGCAGTTTGTATTACAGAAAAAAGTGGTTTTACAAGATTTGAAATAGTTTGTATCAAACCAAGAAGTAGTTAAAAGATTGCAAAAGAGGTAAAATACAGATAAATAATAAATTTCTTATTATAATTCTTATAGAATGTTATTCACAATAGGTACTTGACTTGTAGGCTACATGAATATAAAAATATAAATATAGATTAAATCAAAATCAAAAAAGATTTCACAATCCTAATTCTAAAAAAAATGCATTTATAGCCCTTATTCTCTCAAGTACTTGAGACATTGTCAATGTAGTGCAAATAAATATTAAGTGTGAATCTCAACTACTTGAGAGAATGAGGGCTATAAATGCATTTTTTTTAGAATTAGGATTTTGTAATCTTTTTTGATTTTGATTCAATCTATATTTATATTTTTTTATTGTATTTATTTTATTTTACATTCGTCCTTTTTTTTTTAAAAGAAAAAGACATTTTTTAAATTGAAGTGACTTGTTAAAAGTTAAAACAAATCATTATAAGTCTTTCAATTTTTAAGTAAAAGAAATGTAATAAAGTGTAAATTACACTGTGATTTACACACATACACACATACATGCATATACATCCTGATATAACTACACACACAGATATATATATATATATATATATATATATATATATATATATATATATATATATATATATATAATATATATATATATATATATATATATATATATATATATACATATATATATATATATATATATATATATATATATATATATATATATATATATATATATATATATATATATATATATATATATATATATATGCATACATACATACATACAAATATTTTCATTTTAATAATTCTTTATGTAACGCTTTATCTACGTATGAAACAATACTAGTTTTCGTATTTAAAAAATTTTACTACTTCTTTTTCTTGGACACACAGAACCCGTTGTGAAATTATTTGAATCTTACCACTGATGTTTATATATATATATACATATATATATATATATATATACATATATATATATATATATATATATATATATATATATATATATATATATATATATATATATATATATATATATATATATATATATATATATATATATATATATATATATATATATATATATATATATATATATATATACAGGGCCTATTCTGAGAAAAAATTTGGGCAGCGGTGAAACTCTTTAACACAGAAACACAAACCTTGACAATCTCTGTTGTCAATATGTTTGATTTCCTTATCTTTAACTTGTGTATAAAAAAATAATTTTATAACTCATTAAAAAAAAAGTATAGTTTTTACCTTTTACATTTTTTAAACTACTGTTTTTGTTTCTAATTTGTTTTATTTACTTTATTAGCGTAATTATTTAATCTTAATCTTCATAATAATAATCTCCATAATAATAATAATAAATCTGTGAAAATAAAGATGCAACAATGAAAAGACTCTACTCATTTAGAAGGAACGCAGTTAAATCAATTTTTAATGTCTCCAAGTATATACACTCTCTATTTAAAGTACTATATACACTCTCTATACTATATACACTCTCTACTTATAATTAACTATATACACTCTCTATTTAAAATTAAGGAGATGTCAAGTTATATATATTAAAAAAAAAAAAAAAATCTATTTATCCGCCTTTTAAACAATAAAGTAACCTTTGAAATTAGTAACTCCCAACTTAACTACTGTTCAGCTAAATTTTCTTTTTTAGATGATATAAAAGAATTATGTGATAATCATAAACTGAATATGAACACCTTAATGCTGGTTAAAAAAAAAGTAAAACTTAAAGTCTTAGAGGAAGTAATTCCTGAAGCTACTCTTCATATTTTGGTACACGTGGTTCAATGTTGGAATGTAAAAAAACAGCGAACAATTTTTGAAAAGACACTTGAAAAAAACATTCCTAAATAATACTTTTTTTTATCTCTATTTCTTAGTTTGTGTTTTTACCTTGTAAATTTATTTTACAGAGGGTGATTAATAAAATATTAATAATAATAATTATTATTATTGTTACAAATAATCTAATTATACGTTGTTATTAAGTTTATTATTTAGTTATAATATCTTAAACTCTTATTATCTTATCTATAATAATATTCATATAAATTATATAAAAAAAAATAAGTTTGTAAATAAAAAATAACATTACCTAATATTTTATTTAATTGATTTTTTAGATCATTCGTATGAGTGCAAAAGCAAAGTATATGCGAAAATATAGAAAAGTTGTTAAAGATGCAAATAATTGCTTTGAATGTGAACCTCCTGTGTTATCAAATTCTTCAACTAATGCAGAAAATTTGTTCGCTTTATCTTCTATTGCAAATAATATAACTGATAATTTATTTAATAGTGATACCTATAGACTTGACATTGACATAGTACCACCTTACAGTAGTTCCGATGAAGAAAATTGTGATATAGATGATATTGACATCGACATAGTACCACCTAATAGCAGCTCAGGCGATGAACATTATTGTGATATAGAAGTTGTTGGCAATAGATCTTTTCAATACGATCTAGCTCAATGGGTTGTTAATGCAAAACTCAGACGTTTATCATGTAATGGTTTGCTAGCCTTGTTGAGAAAACATGGGTGCGAGCTGCCTAAAGATAGCCGTACTCTTTTACAAACACCTCAAGCTATACAAGTTCAGGAAAAATGTGGTGGAAAATACATTTATTTTGGCCTTACCAAATGTTTACAGAATTCAATAAATCAAGGCACTTGCAGTAATATACTCAATCTGCAAATAAATGTTGACGGTATATCATTGTTTAGATCATCGAAAAGACAATTTTTCTTAAAGGATTTTATTGATGAATATAAACTTTTAAAATGTAATGGTGTCACTCATAATGGTAAAAATTATACAGTTATTTTGCACTCAGTTATTTGTGATGCTCCAGCAAGATCTTTTCTGAAAAATATTCAAAAACATTTCTTTTTATATTTATCTCCCTCTAATATAGTTTTAAATATGTTTTTATGTCTATATGTTTAATATGTTTAAATATGCTAATATGCCTAATGTGATTTTTAATTTAAGGAAGATATTTCATAGTATACTAGGTTAGCACTATGAGTGAAAAAAGCTATATATTTTTTAGCCTTCGTAGTTAATCAAAGAGTTATTATAGCTTCTTTTTTTATTAATATTTTCATTTGGTGTAAGTTATTGTAAATTTATTTTAGGTATATTAAGTTGTGATTTTATTTTCCTATGTTTTAACTTTTTAATTTTTTTTTAATTTTTGTTTCGATTTTGTTTACTTTTAATGTAAATCTAAATAATTTTAGATATTAATCTTAAAATTTTAAAGAGTAATTAATATAGAAATTTTCATAACCATCTCCTCTGATAATAACTTCTATTGGTGTCTTGTTTAGCTGAAACAAGTAATAATAACAATAATTAAACTACTATTTATATGTATTAGTAAAAAAATATTTATGTATTTGTAAACGACTAAACTTATATTAAACACTTTTAAACAAGTTTAGTTACAAGTTTATGTTATGTGTTGATGTACCTACAATAAAAAGAGTATTAACATTTTAGTAAAATGTCATATCACCGGGCTGTTTGGTTGGAAGAAAATCGTGAGGAAGAAGGAGTCTTGCCATCCGCATGGGTGCGGGGAAAAGTAGTTATGTGGCCCCCATCCAAAATGAATGCGTTTAAATTAATGAAAGAAGGAGTAGAACCTAATGAAAATTGGCGACTTTTAAACTAATAAAAATAAAAATTACTTCAGGTTTTGTGTTTATTTTTTGACAACAGCTTCATAATTTACATTCGCAAAATGTTAAAGAATTTAGTCATTACTTGTTAAAAGAATTTATTTGTCAATAATCTTTGGATAAATTAAATGTTTTCTTATTTCTTTTACAGATTGCTACGAGGATTGTAATAATTATGATTTAACTACAGAAACTGAAGAAGATAATCAGCAAGTTTCAAAAAAGCGCAAACGTGCTGCTTGTACAACTTTTTTTGAAGGTTTTACTTAAATTTGTTAATACTCATATAAATAGTAAATAGAATATATAAACTGAAAATAATAACATATGTGAAATATACAAAAACTGACAAACAATATATAAAATATAATATTTAAAACTTATTATCAATCTATAATTTTGCATTATTTTAATCAAAATTGAAGTTATTTATTTGGATATAATACCACTACTTTAATACAGCTCTAGTAAAACACTTTGTTTTTTTCAGGCGAGGAAGAAGTTGATGTTGATATTAATACAGAAAGTAAGAATATATATTTTTTATGTTAATTCACCTCCCTAAAGGCTGAGATGACCACTACAATCGAAGAGGCTACTTGCAGTTTCAACCCTCTCTCAACTTCATAACTCTGAAACACAAACCTTGACGAACAAGGCTGCTGCGTGAAGAAACAAGTTCATTAATTAGTTATTTTATGAAGAGTAGAGCAGGAGCTAATAATAGCCTACATAATAATAGTAATAATAGTGTTATGTGTATGTATTTTGTAATAAAACAGTTATTAAAAATAATTTTTTACACTTGCTGTAATTGTATTTTATTTTTAAAATAGTAAAACTATCTACATTTCCACAGCCACCTGCTATATTAGGCAAAATGTTACCATCAAATATTTCACTATATAAAAAGGTTGTGGATGTGGTACCACAAGGATTTAAAAGTGATCATGCAAGTAAGTTGTTGTACTTTATATCTTTGAGTACTAATAATAATTGTAATGGTTATATCTCAAAAGTATACCCTGAGATTTACATTGTAGCTAAACTATCACCAATTCCACAGTCACCTGGTCTTTCAAGCTGTTATTCTAAGATACCTTCATTCAAATCAAGCATGGTGACTATACTAAAAGAAAATAAAATGGATCAATCAAGTAAGATGTCTAAATTTATATCTTTGATATAGACCACCTTCACTTTTAAATAATCTTCAGATTTAGACCTACTAACTTTTACTACTTATGAACATATTTAATCCTTTATCCTTTTAAGGATAAACTTTTTTAAATCAAATTTAGGAAAATTTAGTAAATTTTCATTGAAAACAACTTTGCATAAATAATGTAACTATATAGTTATTTACATTATAGCTAACCAATCAGCACTTTCTCCTTTTCTGTTACCCCGAAAATTTGATTCTAAAATACCAATATTCAGACAGAGAGCTGCCACATCAAAAGACAATGTAATAGATCGATCAAGTAATACTTAATTTTTAACTTAAGTGTAATATCCAAGGGATTTGGTAAATATTAGAGATATCTAGAATTAACTGTAATAATGATATTAGTTATTGTTTATTTATAGTATAATGTTTTATAGTATATGGGGTCTGATTTACATATATACTGCAAAAATTTAATGACGTTTCTAAATAAGTTTTGATTTACAACGCCCAATGTAATTGTATAATTATTTATATTGTAGTGAAACTATCAGCATTAAATAGAAAGTTTCAAGCAAACATGATACTGAGTGAGCCAACTGCTCCTCAAGAAAATGAAATCGATAATGGGAGTAAGTTGTCAAACCTTATTTATATATTATTCGGTTGTTGTTTTTTTTTACTGTAGATAAGGCAGTTGCTTTGCAATTGTGCTATCTATTATCAACCTATCACTGTTAACAGTTATAACGAAATTTGTGTAGTTTTTTTAATAAGGTTTTTATATAAATGTTATATATTTTACAGAGTTTCAGAGAAAAGTTCTTTATCAGTTATCAAATATGGCTAACGAAATTAAAGATTTACGAATAGCAGTGGAAATGATGGCCGTACCAAGTTTAGAGACTGTTGCTGAGGTCCATCTAGAAGTTATAGCTAGAGCTATTGGGACCTTGAATGGATACAGAAAATTAGAGGAGCAATGTGGAGTTCTTGCTAATCGAACAATTTTAGTAAGTGTATAGCTAATTGTTTTTATCCTCTTTCCCAGAAAGGTTTTTAACGTCTATATAATGTTTGTTTTGATTTCAGAAAATATGTTTTGCTTTCATTGAGGTGGCAAGACTTTTGTTTTTGTATTAATTAGAATCCCATGTGTAATGAAAAGTAGCATTTATAAATAATTTCTTTGTAGCTTCGCCTTCTTTCACGAATCGGAGGGTCATCCATTAAAGATACTTCTAAGAATCTATTGAAAAGACTTTTTACAAATTTTGTTATGTCTCATTTGAGTATGGATGGTAAAGGTTCTCTTAAAAAGCTTCCGTTTAGAGACTTTACAAATTTTGTTATGTCTCATTTGAGTATGGATGGTAAAGGTTCTCTTAAAAAGCTTCCGTTTAGAGACTCTGCTCTGTGTCAACTTGTTGTTGGTAAAATATTATTTTTATATTTTTTGTAATTGAAATTAAATTCAAACTCAGGTTATAATTCAAATCTACTCAGTACACACTACGAATTTATAAAATTGTCAAATAAATGATTTATATGAATTGAATGAAGATGTTTATTGATTTTTTTAAATTATTTTTAGAGTGTGTATTGAAACGATATTCTACGTCTTCTTTGTCCGAAATACATTCGTGCATTGGTTCTCATCTTAGAATGGCTCCGTTTCGTTTAGGTGGCACTGGGAAAGGTGGCGCCCATTTTTCCAATTCTCAAGATGGAGAGGCTGGCTTGAACGATTCAAGCAAAGATGATGCTTATTGTCATGGAAGCGATCATGATAATGATAAATACGATAATTCATATTATAATAATTAAAATTAGTGTAAATATGTTTAAGACTTGCATTTATGAAAAAAAATATCTGTATGTTTGATTCGTTTATGAGTATTTATTTTTATTTTATGAGTAGTTACGCGTTCAACGTTTGACTTTTCTTTACGGCGCTTATTTAAAGAAGCATATAAATTAAAGAAACGTAAATTTATAAAATTTAGACGACGTTTAAAACGAAAGATTTAGATGGAGTTTAAATAGCATTTAAAACGAACCATTTAGATTCGGTTTAAATGGAACATTCGATTGACCTACGTTCTAAATCAAAACTAAATTAAATCTAAACATTTAGAACGAACATTACTTAAACGTTGATTAAATGTTCGTATGCCCGTCGGGCATATTTTGAAAGCAATTTCATTTTTTTAATCAATTACAATAAAAATAAATTAAATTACTTAAACATAATTAACTTTTTATTCAAAAAACAAACTAAGGGGCTGTTCATATGGATAAAATCATCCCGTCTAACCGGGACAGAAAAACAACCGGGGTCCCGCCTATCTTAGAAACTCTTATAATTTTAACATCGTGTTCATCATAGTCATAAGAAATTTATTCTTATGACAATGCGTTATATAAATTTTTTCACCCCGCCAAGGCCGCATCTCGCCTATGGATTACCGGGATCCCGGTCAGGTGGGGTAAAAATTCTTCATATGAACACAAGTTAAAAATCACCCCGGCTGGACTGGACATTTTTGTTAAGAAATTCAATCAGCATTTAATATTTTTTAAGTTTAATCGTTCAACCACGTATAAAAACAAAAATAGTTAATAATTTTATAAATGCTTCTTGTTTCAAATATATCGAATAAAAAATGGCGACTGTTGCAATAGGTTGTGTTTAGATCATATCCCATTCGGAACGATTAATTTTTACTTGCGTATTTTGCCGAGCAACATTTAAAAAAATTTGCGGAGCAATATTAATAACAACACAACACAGGTTGTGTTTAGATCATATCCCATTAGGAACGATTATTTATATTTGCGTATTTTTAATTGCAAGGTAGATAAAAGCTTAAAAAGCAAGCGAGATAAAAACAATAGTTAAAATTTCGGCAAATCCGCGTTACTAGCATTGGCTATTCGGATATTATTAATTTTAACACCAAATATTTATTGTTGAGATTACAAAAAATATGAATAAATTTCTTCAGTAAAAAAAATGTATTGTAGATACGCGGTATAATCCAATGCTAGTTACGCGGTTTTGCACTATTTCCGACAATTTTGTTTTCTAAATGACATTGAAGTGTTATTAAATTTACCTTAAATAACGGTGCTATTTAATAAAAATATAGAATAACAATAAACAAAACTAACAATGAGCAATGTTTAAAAATGATTTGAGTACCAAAAATGCACTATATACTGCTTAAAATAACGATCTCTAATTTTAAATAAACTTTTTTAGGGTAAAATCATCAAATCATGGCCGCTTAATTTTAAACTGCTTCATGTTACCGCGAATCGCTTAGATTCTTAAAAATATTTCTAAACTCTTAAAAAACCTCTTGAGATACAATTTATGACAAGTTTGGAAGTTTTTGTTAATAAGTTAACAAGTTTTAGCACAAATATTAGAAGGCGTGAAAAACATCAAATCTTGGCCAGAGATCCAAAACATGGCCATTGCGAATTTATTCCTGGCCATTAAGTTTTACAAAGTAAAAATAGTGATAATACTTTTAAATTTAAATTAAAAACAAAAGAAATTAATTGTAAAGAGTTTAAAAAAAGAAGTTCTGCATAAATTTTTACTCATATAAATTTAGTTCTTTTTTTAACAGATAAACAAACAATAGATTTTAAAGCGCTTCACAACATTTAATGTTTTCAAATTAGCAAATGTCTTCAAATAAATAAAAACGGCTTCGAGCCGTTTAAGTGCTTCGAGCGGGAACGAACCCGCAACCTTTGGTTGCTCTAACCACTGCACCACAACTGCTAAAATCTAATAATAATCGTTTCATTTATATCGTATCTATACTCTAAACCCGAATGGTTCTTCAAAAAATCTTTAAGGGTTCTTCGTGTTGACGCTGGTGGAGAACTCGTAGAGGTTCTTCAAAGAACCCTTTGCGAAGGCTCTTCGGAAGAACCTTAAAATAAGGTTCTTTAAAGAACCCGTTATAGTTTTTTAACGAACCGTTCAATATTTTTGCATTATTACTTCGTTGCACGGATACTTTTTTGACTTCTTGAACATTTTTTATTATCTGATATTTATATAATATATAACTATTTAATAGATTTTTAATATTTAATTATAATTATTTAAGATATTTAAGCTAGTTACTTAAGGCCAAAATAGAAATGCAAATAACGACTTTCCTAAGTATTTTACATATATTTCAAAATATGGCAATAAAGAAAAAAAAACTTTTTTTAAACAATTGATATAAATATTTTTAAAAAATTAACAAAAATAAATTTTATTTTACAATCCAATATATCTATGTTTATAAAAATATATCATCAATTATAAAAAAGGTTTTCTAGTGTTAAATCCACTGTCCAATATATAAATGTTTTTGCTTGAAATTAGCTGTACGAATAAACGTGAGATTTCTGAAGTCGCATTCGTTTGAAGAATTATCTAAAATTCAACAATGAAATGAATATATATATATATATATATATATATATATATATATATATATATATATATATATATATATATATATATATATATATATATATATATATATATATATATATATATATATATATATATATATATACAGGCCCGCCCAGAGCTTTTGTGATGCCCGGGTCCAAAAGTTTAATGGATGCCCTATCATACTTCAGGTCTTAAAATAGCAAATAAATTAATATAGTTTACTTTCATAAAAAACCTAAAATCACATTTAATTTTGGTTTGCAAGAACAAACTATGATAAAATCAATTCTTAATTGACAAACACATCTTCCGGGCCTTCTTAGCAGCAAAATTTGAAATAACTTCTTCATAATTAACGTTAATGGCTAAATCTGATTCGATTGAAAGGATCATCAAGTAGCACAATCGCTCTTGGCCCATTGTGGAACGAAGATAATCTTTGATGATAGCTAACTTGCTGAAAGATCTTTCTCCTTCAGATGTTGAAACGGGCAATGTTAGAAAGATTCTAAGAGAAACACACACTTGCGGAAATATTGAATGCAGCCCCTTTGCATAAACTTCATTTAGAAGTTCGACAGGCTTTTCGCTGGCTAGAATATTTCTTCTTACGGAAAAAAAATGCCGAACTTCATCAGAAAATTTGTTTTTACATAAGTCTTCTGGGTAAAGTTTAGCCAGATTCTCAGCTTTTAAACCTAGTTCTTGGTCTGTTTGAGATTTCTGTAAAGACCAAAGGAAGGAAAACTTGCTACATTCCTCTTGAGATTTCTGTAAAGACCAAAGGAAGGAAAACTTGCTACATTCCTCTTCTATTACTTTAAATCTTGATCTCATTTGACTAGTCAGATTGTCAAGTGCAACATTGAAGACATTACACTCAAAGTTTTTTGATGCTTCTTCGTGGTTGTAACCAGCAGTTTCATCTGAGATGATCTTTTTTCGCGTTCTCTTCACACTAAACATTATTTTATCAAATTTCAAGTTCTTTGCAACTTCTGTTGCCTCTATCAAAATCAGGTCCCAAGACAGACGGATTCGATCCAGATCCATCAAAGTGACATTTAGAATCTTTACTTCATCATCGAGAGTGAGTTGAGTGGATTGAAGCAGAAGACTCACGTTGTTAACTGCCATCAAACATTTAAACCAAAAAGTAGTGAAAACAACAAATTCAAAAGAATTCATCCATTTAATGAGATAATGCACTTCATTACTACTTTCGCCTGGAAGGTCTAACTCTTTTAGACGATGTAATGATTTCAAGATCTCTCTTGGTTTTTTTGCTAGTGGCTTAACTGATTCAATCCTTGAACTTCATCGTGTAACAGAAAGTTTATGTAATGATTGGCCTGTCTCCTCCTGAAGAATTTTCCAACGAACTGGGCTGCTGCTGAACAGATTGTATAGCTTTTGAATATTTCCAAAATAGGATTTTGCAGGAGCCGATGATTCAATAGCGTAAACTGCACATAAGTTCAAACTGTGAGCAGAGCAAGGAATGAAAATTGCTTGTGGATTATTCTGTCTTATCAAAACTTGAACTCCATTGTAAATACCTGCCATATTAGCGCCGTTGTCGTAGCCTTGACCACGACAATTTTTTATGTCGAGCTCATTCTCTTCCAACACATTCAAAATCAACTTTGTTATATCAGATCCCTTCTTCTTTTCAAGTTCTTCTAGCTTAAGGAATCTTTCTTTGACCTCCCACAGCTGATTATCATTGAAATGCAAAAAACGAAAAACAAAAGTTATTTGCTCGCTGTGGGACGAATCGGGAGTGCTGTCCGTGATGATGGTGAAATATATTGATTTTTTGATTTCTCGAATAACTTCTCGAACCACTAATTTGCCACATTCCTTGATAAATTCATTTTGTGATTTCCAAGATAAATAATGAGCTTGCATGCGTTTTTCTTCTTCTTGGTGCTTAGGAATAAGATGCATATGATCTTGTAATGTTTTGTTGTGGCCAGCAATTAAATCGAGCGCTCCAAGGAAGTTTCCATTCCCATTTTTGAACAACTTTTGATTGGATCCTAATTACAAACAAAAAATAATCAAAATAGTAATCCATATTTATATCCAATTAAAACTTGTAATTTTGATTTTTAAATTACAAATAAAATAATGCAAAATATAATTTAAAATATAAAAACAATATTCTTACCCCTAAAAGCTAAGTTTCTTGAAGCTAGAAAAATTGTGACGTCAAGAATGCATTACTTTCCATCGCTTTGTTTCATCTCCAATTTGTTTTTCTAACTGATGCTTAATGGACTTTCGACTTTTCAAGTGAATCGTAGCTGTTTTCCATTGGAGATAACAGTTACGGTGAAAATCGCTTTGTTGATGACTTTTAACGCGATCTGAAAGTTTTCTCCAATTTCCATGTATACCTCCATTCC